ATAGGTTTTGGCTAAACAAATGCTATGAAAAGTCATATCAGAATCACTTCCAATGTATTCCCAAATATAATAGTTTACTAACCATTCAATTACACAATCAATACATTCAACCAAATGTTTCTTTTTGTCAAAATTATTATATTAATAATAGAAGTGAATTAAATACAATAATACTTGAATATTGTCAACATAAATGTCATGTCTCATGTCTAGATAATTCATATATATTTCACGTTAGCGGCACCACTGTTTCATTAAGGGAATATGGATATATATCTTATAATTTTCATTTAAACCAATATTATTACATCCAGATCATATATTCTGCGAAATACCTATTCATAGATCTGGTGCTAAGTATAGCCAACACATTGAATCTATGGCATGGAATCAGTTTCATTGGTTTACTCATGGATTTCATTGCATTTATTAAATGCAAACAATTTATTAGATCTCAAAAGTTTGCGATAATATTACAGTCATTACAGTTTGGGACCATTTTAAAGGTTTAATGTTTATCACAATCATTTATTATTACATTTTTTATTTACTATATTTTTATCACTTTCAGCGCATATTGTGGACAATACTTACGGCAATACTTGTGCACCAATTATACGACATATCAAAGCATTACTTCCGCTTTGAATCCCATATTATAATTGACGCCAAAACCTATCAATCGGATGATAATTATCCATACATTTCATTAATCACTCGAGATAAAAGAATTTTTCAAGAGATACCTGGGTTAATTTGCGTACATCAAGTTGGAAAAGATTGTGAATTGGATGTTACAAATAAACAATTATTTAATGGTACACTTTATGGTACTTATTATTCAATAGGCAAAAATATTACAAATTTAATTAAATCAGTTAAAAGTTATTATTTTCCAAAAACTTTAATAGAACCCAGTGAAGTTTTCCAAATAAGTACTTTATTTATTAATGAATCGGTTTTGGATTATAATCGAAATCAATTTTTAGAAATCATTTACATATTAAATAGTTTAAAAGTAGACAATATTCTGCTTCATTCACATCCCTATCCGGATATTAATGAAGTAAGTCATACAAGAGAGCCATTCAATGCATTCAATCACACAATAATAATCAACAAAACACTGAAAACACTGTTAACCAGACCTCACGGCAACTGTAGTTATTATGACGACTCGAGTGGACAACCATTTGGTGCCAAATCACACAATCATTGTATGAGACGTTGTCAAAGGAAATACGCCAAAAGTGTTCACAAATGTAATCCACTTTTCATTGATGATTATTTCAATGAATTGGACTTTCAAACAGAATTTAATGAAACGTTTTGTTTAAATCGCTATTATAACGGGAATCAGTTAGAGCTTATCGATTCAATCAAGGTCTATTGTATGAATTATTGTCCCAAAGATTGTCTGACAGTTGAGTACAACTCGAGAGTCGTATCAAGTGATTCACAAATTGGTACCGAATTCTGGTATAACTTAAGTGTGGATCAGACGTCTGTCAAGAAGTCATTGGTTTGGGACTCAACACAACCCCTGTATGTCTATCGGGAGGAACCGGTAATGTCTTTGACAGACTATATGTCATATACTGGAGGACTGTTTAGTCTATGGTTTGGCACAAATGGCAAACACTTTACCCTTTGGTTAATAGACACCATTCATGTCATAAGCATTTGGTTTTCACACAAATATAATCAATACTTTTTTGATAATAGGGTTCATGTCATACACTCTTAAAAAGTAAAATTTAAATTAATATTAAATTTATTTATAATATAATGTATTGAAGAGCACTCGAGAGTAGACATAAATTTAATTACAAAACATTCAAAACTTCTAAATATAATAATACTGTATTGGAATAGCTGTAATAACATTGCACTCAATAGTATACCAATGGTACCACTGATATTATACCAGTATCAAATTATTCGTAAATCTGTTATTAATATCAATTAACAGGCAAAGAATAAGAATTACAATTAAAATAAATATTAAAAAACCAGAATCTTTTTTCAACAAATATTTATTTTGGACACAAATATGGTTGTTGTGGGGAATCACCAAAAAGCGAAAGGATCTGGCGGAAAGATCTGATAAGCATTGTCAGTACGGTATTAGCATATATTCTCAATATAAGGCATTACACATGGTATTCCTGGATAAGGCATTCCGTAAGGCATTCCTGGATAAGGCAATCCATAAGGCATACCATAAGGCATTCCATAAGGCATTCCCGGATAAGGGGTAGGTGGGGGCGGTGTGTATTGAATTTGTGGATTGTATTGCATCTGTTGTGGGGGAAGTGGCTGTTGCTGAGGGCTCAGTATTCCTTGTGTCGGATATATCCGTTGGGCTGTTGTGGTATTTGCTGTGTCTGTGGTCCACTGAATTGTGGTGATTGGGTCGGATTGGCGCCCGATTGGGATGTGCTTTGATTTGGTTGATCTCTACCACTCTTTTGCATTTCGTTTTCCATTCGACAATATTAGACTTATTGTTCACCGAATCAATAAATTGTGGCCACAATTGGATTCAAATTAGAGTTCAAGTCTATATTCTAAACAATTTTTATGTCATTATAAATAGTATTTACGAAATACTAAGAACACAAATACCCGTAAATTTATTTTCAAGTCCTAATAGTTTGAATGCTAACAATGAAAGCTTTTGCGAGCTTAGTATCATTTAATTATTTTTGATCGATACATAAATGATCAGTGTATAAAGCATAACAAAAATGACAATTCAGAGTCTGGTCAATTTCAGACGTCAATTATAACGATTTAACAACTTTTAAATCGCGATAATTATAAACTAATTTATTGTTATATTAAATACAACTGAAAACAATACTTGAGTTTCAATTGATAACTGATTTATTGATGACTAAAATTATTTTCTAGTTTACGTCGAAAATGTCATTCAATTGCTTTGTGTGGACAGGTATACAATTATAAGCAATCAAAGTTTGCATTCATTTCCCTTCAAACCAGTGTTTCTCATAATCTGAACACAACTCATGTCTTATTTAGCGAATGAAACGGAAACAGAAAATCAAGACTTTTGTCAATCGTTTCGAAATAATAACAATTCAATTGATTTTGGTTTTCAAAGGTTTAGGGAAAACCTAATCGAGAACTGGATGTATGAGAACCGGTCGCGATCTGTCTGTGCGCTCGTCATTGGACACCACTATTGGCTCATCGATAAGACAAACCAGAAAGACGTCAAACTATACGATAACGGAGCCAAAGGTGCGAAAAGCGAGTGGTTTGGCAAACAATACACCACTGGATTCAGTATAGTTAACCCTGGTGATAATCGGACATAAATTAGTGGCTTATTAATGGTATGAATAGCTCAACATATGGTTTGAATAACGTATTTGTAATTATGAAAACTTACTGAATGTTTAGCACAACTCGAGTACTATTGAATGGGCGGTGTTTGAGGACAGGGAGGACTTGTATGACTTGAAACGAGTCAAACTAATGGACAGAACTCCAGTGAAACATAACTTGGATTCTGGTATCAGAATCAGTGTTAGGTATCACAATAGGACGGTCTGTTTTATAAAGTACGACCCAATCGACAGTAAATATAATCGCAAATACCGGTGCATCCAATTCGATGGTCTCGACAACACGACAGAGAATACGGGAGACATCGAGGGGGACATCACCGACACGGGGACATCGATGGGGACAACCCTTTTGAAAACAATAAAGTAGTGGCCGACCGGTTGGTAGCCTTTTTCGGTCCTATCAATAGACACGACTATCTGGTGCTGTATCAGAAGGGGCTCACCATTACATACTGTTGGGTCACATGGCATCCTAATGAGTTCATTAACAAGGTCTGTTATGAACACAGAATTTACAACAGAATTATTTGTAACAGAATTTCTAAATTTTATGTGTTTTTAGTGCAAAGATGAAAGAAAAGTGTTAATCAGTTGTGGACGCGATTCCCAGTTTTGGAAATATGTATTGATTTGTGCGGCCGTAGCACTGATTTGTGTGATAATAGCGTTCATTATAGCACTGGTATACCACCGGTGGTGTAGAAACGGTGAGTCCAGTGGCGAAACAATCAATGAGGAGGAATGGGTGCAGAGGAAAGTGCTGCTCATTAAACCCAAACCCGACAAGTCGTCTAAAAGTCCGATGAAATCGTTGATAACTGTGACCATAAAGAGTACAGAAAAAGCTGACGATAAGAAAAGTGACCCAGAATTGCATGAGGAAAGTGTTATTTCAGAGGACATGGACACAAGTAGGAGTTCAGAGGAAATATGAGATCTTTAGATAAATATCATCAAAAATATCTGTAAATATGTGATAAAACCACAGAATTTAGTGCTTTTTATATCAAATTCTTTGCATACAATTTGAATTCTATATAATTCTCTATTTAATTCATTATACCGTAGAATATAAATCTATTTCAATGATAAATTTCTATATATTTTTTGTATGCAAAATAATTTTCGCTAATTTTTGTAATGAGTTTATAACCACAACATAATAAAAACCTACTTTTTATAAAACATTTGTTTTATACTTATAAAACTTAATTACGATAAAAGTTTTTTAACTTAACAAAAGTTATCAAAACTAAATCAAAAAAGTTTTGCATTCAATGAAACCATAAATCAAATGCCAATCGATAGATGTCTACACGTGTTACTCATCACAAACGGCTCGTACATTCGACACCTTTATTAACACACAATGTGCGCCAAACCTACCACTAAAACACTGCATGAAAAGGTACCGAAACGCCGTCACTCACCAAACGATTGCACGATTGAAAAGTGCGGTCTTTTTTGGCGCTTTTATTTGTATCACAAAAACAACTCATTATTGTCGCAGACATTGAGTGAAGACATTGCGTGTCACCACTCATCCCATTATCACCACATTTCGCAGACATTACCACAACACCGACACTACACCTATTGATCACCGCCTGATCCATAGCTGCCATGTCTTCAGAGGACGACGACATCACTATCGAGGAGAGCGAGGAGGAGGTGTCTGATGGCGAGCCCATCGCCACCACCACCACCACCACCACCGCCAAGAAGTCGACGAACACTAAGGGCTCTAATAAGCGATTATCAGTGGAGCGGATCTACCAGAAGAAGTCACAGTTGGAGCACATCCTCCTGCGTCCCGACACTTACGTCGGGTCCGTCGAGAAGGAGACCAAAGTATGCGACAAATGAGACAATGTTTTCAGTGACCAATGTATGGACGGATCAGTTAATGTGATGATTGTCTCTCTATTGACAGCAAATGTGGGTCTACGACGAGGGCGTAGGCATGCAGTTGCGGGACATCTCATACGTGCCCGGACTCTACAAGATCTTCGACGAGGTGCTGGTGAACGCCGCCGACAACAAGCAAAGGGACAAAACCATGTCTTGTATTCGCATTGATATCAATCCGTAAGTCACGTGTTGTACCACTTCTGGAGGGCGGGCATTGATAATGGCATTGAGTTCGCGAGGGGTTCGGTATTGAGTTTGGGTTTCAAAGGGTTGTGGGGTTTCAGGGGGTCTCGCATTGGGTTTGGGATCAGCTCTTCATATATACGATTACTATCACTAAAACACACTCTAAACCTGTCATCCATTCCTCCGCAGCGACAAAAACGAGATAATAATCTTCAACAACGGCAAAGGCATACCAGTGATCGAGCACAAGGACGAGAAGATGTTTGTGCCGACAATGATCTTCGGCCACCTGTTGACGTCTTCCAACTACGACGACAACCAGAAGAAGGTGGTGGGCGGCCGTAACGGCTACGGCGCCAAACTCTGCAACATCTTCAGCACCCGTTTCAAAGTGGAGACCAGTTGTAAGGAATACAAGAAGGCGTTCACTCAGGTGTGGACCGACAACATGAAGGCCGCCACTGAGCCCAAGATCAGCGCTTCCGTGGGTGAGGACTACACGCGAGTGACGTTCTGTCCCGACCTCAAGAGGTTCGGTATGGACGCGCTCGACAAGGATATAGTGGCGCTGTTCTCGCGCCGGGCGTACGACTGCGCCGGCAGTTCTAAAGGGATCAAAGTGTTCCTCAATGGCCAGCGATTGCCGATCAATGGATTCAAGGCTTACTGCGAGCTCTTCGTGAAGGACAAGGAGGACGAGAACGGAGAGCCCCTGAAGTTGGCCCACGAGGTGGTGAACGAGCGCTGGGAGGTCGCCGCCACTGTCAGCGACAAAGGCTTCCAACAGGTCTCGTTCGTGAACAGCATCGCCACCACCCGGGGCGGCAAACACGTGGACTACATCGCCGACCAGATTGTGGCCAAAATGGTGGATATAATCAAGAAGAAGAATAAGGCGGGCGTTAACATCAAGCCCTTCCAAATCAAGAATCATTTGTGGCTTTTCGTGAACTGTCTCATCGAAAACCCGTCGTTTGACTCGCAGACGAAGGAGACAATGACTTTGCAGTCCAAGAGCTTTGGATCAAAGTGTGCGCCGACGGAGAAGTTCTTCGCGGCCGTCAATAAGATCGGAGCCGTGGAGTCCGTGATGTCTTGGGTGCGGTTCAAGGCCCAGACGGAGCTCTCGAAGCAGTGTAACGCCAAAAAGCAGTCGAAACTGAAGGGTATTCCCAAACTGGAGGACGCGAACGACGCGGGCACTAAGCACTCGATCGACTGCACGCTTATCCTAACGGAGGGCGACTCAGCCAAGTCGCTGGTGGTGGCCGGCCTGGGGGTCATCGGACGGGACAAGTACGGCGTGTTTCCGTTGAGGGGAAAGTTGCTTAATGTTAGGGAAGCGACGCATAAGCAGATCCTGGAGAACGCGGAGATCAACAATTTGATCAAAATCTTGGGCCTCCAGTACAAGAAGCAGTACTCATCGGTGGACGACTTGCGGACTCTGAGGTACGGGAAGCTCATGATTATGACGGATCAGGACCAGGACGGCTCCCACATCAAGGGACTGCTCATTAACTTCATTCACCACAATTGGCCCAAACTCTTGGAACTGAACTTCTTGGAGGAGTTCATCACTCCGATCGTCAAAGTGACCAAAGGCTCGAACATCAAGTCCTTCTATAGTTTGCCGGAGTTTGAGGAGTGGAAGGGAGTGACCGCCAATTGGAGCGCCTGGAGAGTCAAGTACTACAAGGGTTTGTAGCCATTCCATCACTTGCCATACCATTCCCCGCCCGCTGTGACTAACTGTCCATTTGTCACTACACACAGGTTTGGGTACTTCCACGTCGAACGAGGCCAAGGAGTACTTCACGGATATGCGGAGACATCGGATTACCTTCAAGTATTCCGGCGCTGACGACGATCACGCCGTGATGTTGGCGTTCAGCAAGAAAATGGTCGAACAGCGCAAGGATTGGCTGACCAACAACTTGGAGGAGCGCAAGAATCGGCGCGAAATGGGTTTACCGGAAGTGTATCTCTACGAGAGTAACACCCGAAGCATTTCGTACAAAGACTTCGTCAACAAAGAGCTCATCCTATTCTCGAATATGGATAACGAGCGGTCGATCCCCTCACTGATGGACGGCCTGAAGCCGGGTCAGCGGAAAGTGATGTTCACGTGCTTTAAGCGCAACGACAAACGCGAGGTGAAAGTGGCGCAACTGGCGGGCAGTGTGGGCGAGCACAGCGCCTACCATCACGGCGAGGCCTCACTCATGTCCACCATCATAGGGTTGGCCCAGAACTTCGTGGGCAGTAATAACATCAATCTCTTGCAACCCATCGGACAGTTCGGTACGCGATTACAGGGCGGCAAAGACGCCGCCAGTCCTCGATATATCTTCACAATGCTGTCCCCATTGGCGCGTAAGATATTCCCGGCGCTCGACGACCCCCTACTTAACAGCCTATACGACGACAACGTTAAGATTGAGCCCGAGTATTACGCGCCGATACTGCCCATGGTTTTGGTGAACGGGGCGGAGGGTATCGGCACCGGGTGGTCGACCAAAATACCGAACTATAACCCCAGGGATATCGTGGAGAACTTGCGGCGAATGATTAGAGGGGAACCGCCGGAACGGATGCAGCCCTGGTATAAAGGCTTTCGCGGATCTATTGTCCAAATCGATACCCAGAGGCATGTCATGAATGGAGAGGTGGGTCTCTTGGATGGCCAGTCGTTCGAGATCACAGAACTGCCGGTCCGGACGTGGACGCAGAATTATAAAGAGTCCACTTTAGAGCTTCTACTGCACGGCAACGAAAAGACGGCCCCTTTTATCAATGAATACAAGGAATATCACACGGAATCGACCGTCAGATTCGTTGTGGGCCTCACGGATGCCAACCTTAAGAAGTCGTTGGATTCCGGTATTCATAAGACATTCAAGTTACAGACATCGATGTCCACCACATCGATGGTCCTGTTCGACCACAACGGGTGTCTGAAGCGGTACGAGACGCCCGAAGAGATCATCAGAGAATACTTCCCGGTGCGGCTCGAGTTCTACGTCAAGAGGAAAGCCTACTATGAAGGCAAACTGGAGGCCGAGGCCCTGAAACTGGAAAACCAGGCGAAGTTCATACTCGAGAAGAACGACGGACTCATTCGTATGGAGAACGTGAAGAAGAAGGACTTCGTGCAGCAGCTGATCGACCGGCGCTACGACTCGGATCCGGTCAAGGCGTGGGTTAAGAAGAACGGTCTGACCGCAGCTGACGGACACCAGGATAGGGCCGACGGCGACAGGAGCGCCGACGAGGCGTCGGACACCGAGGAGACTGTTCCCGAAGCGACCGCCGCGGAGGCGGACAAGAAGTACGACTTCGACTATCTGTTCGATATGTCGATGAGAAGTATGTTAAGAGAACGCGTGGAACAGCTGCTGAAGCAGAGGGACGACAAGAAGGCGGAGTTGGAGGCGTTGAAGCGAAAGACGCCGGAAATGCTGTGGGAGTCGGACCTCAAAGAGTTCGCCGAAGAACTGGATTCCGTGGAGGAACAGGAGCGACAGGCCGGCGCCAAAGCGCTGAAACCCAAGGCCGCGGCCCAGAAGTTGGCGTCGAAACAGCTGAAGACGAAGAAAGTAAATCTGAACCAAAGCCTGGAGTCGAAGCCGTCGGATGTGGCGGAAAGGGTTGAGCCGAAGATCGACGTCGAGAGCTATAAGAAACCCGAGAAAGGCGTGAAACGACAGGCGAAGGACGCGAAGGAGGGCTCGAAGGCCACGAAAAAGAAGCCGAAGACCGGCGATGAGAACAGTCCGGGCGGTGGCGACGATCAACCGGTGGTCGATATCGACAGCGATAGCGACGCTGATGTCAAACCACTGGCTGAGCGAATGGCCGACAAGAAGAAGGCGAAGCCGACGCTGCCGTCAGTCAAGGGGTGGCTCATGAGTAGCCCTCCCGACCCGTCGACGGCTCCCAAAGCGGCCGCCGCTGCGCCCAAAGCGGAGCCCAAGAAAGCGACCAAAACTAAGCCCGAAAAGAGCGAACCGATTGAGAAGAAGGCGCCGAAGAAGAAGGAGAATAAGAAGACGACGACAACAGCGAAGGCGGCCTCGAAGAAGGGTAAGAATCCGTGGTCTGACTCGGAGTCCGACGACGACGATAACGACTACACCATCGATGACGACGACAGCGATAGCGATGACCGGATCGTGCCGTTGAAGACCAACACTCGAGTGGTGAACAAACAGATAGACTCCGAGTCGGACACCGAGAAGGAGACATCGGTTGTCGAAGTCGACGATTTGGTGTCGTTTAACGCCACTAAAGAGCTCGAAGAGCCCGAGGCTAAGAAGCCCAAGAAGAAGGAGTCGGAAGCGGTTCCCAAGAAGAAGAAGGAGACGGAGAATAAGAAATCGGAAGCGCTTCCCAAGAAGAGAGCCGAAGCGGTCGCTAAGAAACCGGCGCCGAAGAGGGCGGCGGCCGCTAAGGCGACGAAGAAGAAGAATGTGTGGTCTTCGGACTCAGAGGACGACGACGACGACGAAGACTTCACAATGGATACCACGGAAGACATCGAAGTCTAGTTCTCGTGCCATAAATGACTGCTTTTATATTGTATTCACTCTTAGCGTATGATTGCATTTCATTTTTATTCATATTTTTATTATAATATTTCAATATTTAATACTTTTTTGTGGTTTTTAATTACCATTGGATTCGATATAATTGTATTATTATTATTCACTTCTATATTACTTAAAAGTTTTTTTTGAAAATAATTTTATATTTTAAATATTTATTATTTCATTTTATGTGTGCTTTTCGTATCACTTTTCGTGTGTTAGTTATTACGGGAGAGAGTAATAAGTCGTTGAATTGTAGCCAAAAAATAATAATTTAACGATAACTTGATGTCACAAATGATAGTGTATTTCGTTTGGTTTTATTGCATTTCTCATTATTATTATAATAAATAGTATTTAAAGTGATGTCTGGCTTTTGTCCAATGAATTCATGAGCGGATTAATGGTTTGGTCGATGGGATGGGTAGGTATGCATTGGCGCCTATAGTTTGCGGTGTTCGAGCGAATGGGACAGTTGTGTGAGTCTGCGGAGGTTATCGATTACTTTGATCTCTTGGATGTATTGCTGCAGCTGTTGACTGAACGTCGACTTCGACTTCTGGTTGGACGACGACTGGGAGGGCGGCTCTAAGCTAATGGCGCCTGACTTGCACTCGCGGATCGTACGCAACGTCTGGGCGATCATATGCTGTGGTTATCCGTACAAAAACAAGACATTAATTGGTATAACATGCGAGTCATAAAAGCTATAACTATAGCTAAGGGACAGGGATGTTGACCGCGCCATTGCCTACCATTTTCTCGAAGTTAACTAATCCCTGTTCGACGTAAGTCTTGTTGCCTTCGTGTGCGAATGTGATGTCTTTGAGCAGTAATGGCATGAATGGTATGAGCGGCGGAGACATCTTCTGCACCATAATCCTGTAGCGCCGGTGATTCCTGTGGTGATGAGTCGCGAGGGACATAAGGGATGGTTAGTAGTGATGATAATCTGTGGTTTAAGGGGTGATAATACAAACCTCGACGGATCGATGAGCGACTCGTACTGCGAGAACGTCCTCTTTATCTTATTGGGCAGCCGTTCCCACGTCTGCGACAGTCGACTCACCGCTACGTTACTTAAGCCCATGATTATGGCGAAGAATGCGTTCAGATTCTGGTAGTCCTTACAACTGATCGCCAAAAACACATCAAAAATATGATAATCAGTAAAAAATGTGTCAAAAAACTAAAGACAATCAAACAAATAGAAAACTACACCGAAAACAAAATGCTAAAACAGTCGGCGCTCAGTCGGGAGACTTACTGTCCGGCGATTTTGATCAACTTTCTCAAGAGCTGAACCCTGCGGGACAGGGACTTCTCGAGCACCAGCTCCGTGACCGTCCAGTACTGGATTTCGTTGAAGTGCCGCAAAAACACGTCCAAATTGGCGGTGATTTCGTTGAAGTTGTGGCGACCGAACACGTGGTATATGAGCTCATAGTCGTGCAGATTGTGGAACAGTTGCCACCCGTGGAGTGTCAAGTGATAGGCGAAGTCCTGCGACGAGAACTCCTCCAACTGCTGGGCCGACCCTTTGGTGGGGCCGTCCTGTTCTGTGAGCGTAGTCAAGGCGTCCAAGTGGTCGGCGTGAGCGATGAATATACGGCCGTTCACTGTCAGCGCCGTCGGTATACTGATCTCAGTGTCGCGGAATGGTAGCCGTTCTGGTCATACACACCATAAGAATCGTTAATTTTTTTGTGGATACAGAATATTCTCAATTGAATTGTTTGCGTTAAACATGTAAATGTGGATTAGTTTAGACATAGAATATTCTTATGAGTATTGGCACTAAAATAGCGGTATATATTATTAAGGGGTTTGTTACAGGGCACATTGTTAGTGGGGTTTTTTATGAACTACCGGTGCGGGCAAGTGGTGATAACATACCGGTATTGGACTTAAGCTCGACGATAACCAGTTCATTCACTTTATCCATTCCCAGTTTGTCTGCGGCCTGTGTTTTGATCACCTCTGCCTTCGTGTCCACATTAATCTTGAGCGTAGTGTAGGTGTGGTCGGCGCAGAACACCTTACAGATGACTGGACGGGTAGGTCACCAAAAAAAATTACATATTATTTTTGTTGAATGAATTTCAATGTGTTTTGTGTTCACTACTCACTCTCATCGCTCTCCTTAATGGACAGCCATTTGTTTCGGTAGTCATTGGTGTAGTTGACTTCGGGCGCGGTTGACATACGCCGTACTGAACCCGGATTATCGGCTTTCCACTTCTGGATGCCTCTCATATCCATTTCCAACTCGTAACTAAAAAACAACATAATTTTTAAATGAAAATACTTAATTTTTTTCCACTTATAAAAAATCAATTTAGTTTTATAGCGATATAACGCAAACCCTTAACACAAAACTCAAACTTAATTAACGCACAGACAATGTGTGTATAAAAAATAAAACACAACACTCTTTGCCGACTAATCCATTAAATGGACTTTTGAAAGCAATTTATTTGAATTAACCGTTTGTTTATCCGATTCTCTAATGTGTTTTACTTTTTCGTGTTATCACAGAATATTCCGTTATATTCTCGATGAGAGACACTAATTCATACCTAAACTCGTAACACACACTATTCATGTGAGCAATAAATTCTGTGTTTATTTGTCTTTTCATAGCAAACAAAATAGATTTCGTTTTATTGTCTCAAAGTCTGAGATGAGATGAGTCCTACCAATGCACACATCAACGCAATTGTACTTAAACTATACGATTGCTATCATTAGGTAATTCATAGTTATTGTTAATCAAGTTTTACAATATAGTGCAAAACACATACAGAATTTAAATCTAGAAAAGTGTTTGCACCTGTACTGTAGTACTGGAATATTGTTATTACCGGTAATAGTTTTGTTAAATCCATATTTAATAGTTGACAATTTTTAATCTAAATCATAAACCAAATGAAAATATTTATTTGCATTTTCAATCAGGTCTGTATGGATATTTAAATACTATTTATACTGTGCTTATGTAACACAAATAAATGAAATTTTATCTAAATCTTACAAGTTAGAAAACTAATGTTAAATACAGTATAAAAATAAAAACAGCATTCGTTTGCATAAATACACAGAATATTCTATATATAGCATATATAACATACATAAGCATATATATATTATGACTACTATTACCGATTCTGTACTCTCATAAGAATCTAACAAAATAACACAATATTACTGTAATACTATAGCCATTAATATATCGTCTTAAGTATCAATTCATAAGAATTCATCACTACTTTATGCATACTTTAGTGAATACACTCCACACTTATACACTTCGTGCATAAATGAATAAAACATTTATTCCTTAACTTATAATACTATTCAACACAAAAGGAAACTGATTATGACATCAAATAACACACACAAAGAGATAGAGAAAGAAAAAAACCAAAACCAATATCACTATCACTCACATTGTCTTCGCTTCGGTGATCGTCTTCAGAGTCAACAACTCGTCTTCAAACGTCTTATACTTATTGATGTCCTTCTGGAGCGCTTCGACGATATCCTCGATGAACGTCCAGACGATCTTATTCTTGAGGAAGGCTTCGCCGGCGATCGTGAACCAGTAGTGCATAAAGCGGACGACCCGGCGCTTGTTGGCCACAATGAACTCCTTCTCCTGGCGCTGATGGAGTTCGTCGATCCGGTAGTACCTCATGAGTTGATTGCATAAGTGTTTCCACGAGATGAACACCGGGAACGTCAGCAGGAAGTCCTGGAGCAGGGTATCACCGTTCCGGTCGTCCAGGTTGATGGTGTCCAACCGGGTCTCCAGTAGGTGTTCCAGCATTTTCTCGGGCGTACCCGCCATTACCATATACCTGTGCGCGCAAGCAGGTAGTACCGGGATTAGTTTAAATGAATAATTAGTTTTTGCTTAATAGTTGTCTAAAAAAGTTTTTTCATTGAATTCGTGAATTAATTGAATAATATATGACTTGAAATGTTAAGTTTTTGAGACTTTAATTTTGAGACTCATTTTCGGATAAATAATGTATTTCTAGGGCTTTGAAGTGATTCTCTCACTCCTAATGTTAATATTATTTTGAACTAAATTTAAAACATTGCTACTCGAGTGATACACTGCACTCTCGCTATTATAAACATGCTATTTATTGGTTATCCATATATTATAAAGTGTATTGTATTTTTATATACGAAACATTTTAGATGTAAATTTATATAAATTGTACCAATTTGTAGAAAAGTATTGATTGATTTATTTAACTGCAGAGAGAGAGAGAGAGAGAGAGAGAGAGAGAGAAATCGTTAGTTATATAACTATATATCAGCAAAAAATATCAGTAATAATCGCAACATTGGCGCAAATATTGCATTATTTCGTGAGATAATAGACACACAAAGCAAATGATACGAAGACTACTAGCAATCATAACTCACTTATAATGGGAAGCATTGTTGGGCTCAAACGGATTGGATATATGATTGGTGTGGTTGTGAGTGGTGGCCATCTTCTGGAGGACCAGCACTTCCTTCCCGTGCTCTTTAAGGCGTACGGTATTGGCCTCAACATCGCGGAGGATGCGATCAAAGTGTGATTTATCCACACGAAGTAATTGACAGTTGGATTCGTTGGTCACGATTGTGGCCGCTCTCGGCGCCTGTATGTCATGTCAACACA